GACGAAAACAAAATTACGAAGTAGACTGGACATAAACCACACACTTGAGGTGTCTGTCTCTCCTATTACCCCGAGATGGGACCGTCTGGTTGCAGAAAATCAAGCTCGGTGCTGTGGTGAGTCGTCATTTTCATGCACTTTGAATTTGCGTTGTATCGTATTTTGAAGGCATTAAACATTGCCATAGCGTTGCGGCCAGATTAGACGCTCCTTGTGTTTATTATTATATTTCGAAAACACCACAGTTTTCATGCAGCTCATACCATATTATTTTGTTGTATTATTTCCGCCACACCTTAAATGCCGGTCCCTGAAAATATTGTCTGACATAAACCGGTCCGTGGGGCAAAAAAGGTTGGGGACCCCTGGTGTAATACATTTTCAACCAATTTACAGCTGAGCTGACACATGGAAATCCATACCATCATAGTCTGCCAACATTTCACTCCACTCCATATTGGGCCCACATCCTCCATTAGCCATGCCAGCCTGTAAGGGTGTGAAAGAAATCAAGAAAACAGTTCAGAGAAACTAAGTACGCTCTTTAGGGATTGAAATTTGCTCATTTGTCTAACCGGGAAGTCATTTTCGTTGTCGGTCTCAAGATCATTGTTCTCTGCTTGAATCTCTCTGGTCAGCTGCTCTTCTTCTGCGATGGCACTGGCAATCGCTTCTTCATTAGCCTTCTCTAGTCGATCGGCAAGCTCTTCTTTCTTAGCCAAGACCTCTGCCATGGACTGAGGCTGGACACATGGTGCAGGTGTCATCATACACAGTATGACAGATATAAAAGAATTTGACAATTAAAAATACTTGCTGCCAGGCTAAATGTATCTATTGGTAGGGGATTCGTAACAAAGAAAGCCCATATCAATCTCATCACATTTTGAATCACGGGGTGGTCACAAAAATCACAAGTGAGGAAGCATTCCACTGTCATGCAGAGCACATTTACCGTGAGGATGAAGAGATGGTGGAATCGGCAAACTACTTGGCTTTTATATGGGGTCAAGCAAATGGGCATTAAAAAGTGGGTCTGAATATGAAGCAAATATGAACGTGGCCGCCCCAAGAACAGAAATTGATCATTAAAATGAGTAGTCTACCTTAAATGAGAACCACTGTGAATTGATGGTAATGGTTAATAACAACACTGAATTTTGTGTTGAATTTAGTGTTAAGTTGCAGTACTACCCTTTTACATGTTTGTTAAACTTGCGGACATTAGACCAGATCCACAGAACAAATATTTTTGGTGAACAGACCACTATCTACAAAACAAAACAAAAACATCTATTCACAGCTATTCTTCAGTGAATGGTGCTAACACAACATTACACACAGCTATGTAGTCTTGCCGACACATTTGGTCAGGGGGCTGCTTCAGATCGACTTTGTTTAGGCGGTGAAACACCCATGAGACCTTCGTAGACTCCCCTCGTACTAAACCCAGGCCCACCCCTCCCTCTGCTCCTCCATCTCTCAGCACTCACAGTGGAAAGCTCTGTGGGGTCCAGCACACTCTCCAGTTTCACCGCGTCCATGGGAGTCTCAGCCTGTTGTGGAGCAGATGTGGCCATGCCCTGCAACGCACCCCCCTCAGCCACACTGTCCCCCAAGGCCAAGGGTCCGCCGAGCCCATCCGTCTGAGGTCGCTCTAAGGATGCAGAGTGGGCGAGGGCAGGGGGTGGGACTGATATGGTCATGTCTGCTGGTGGGGCTGCAGCTGAACACAAGGTGGGCTCTGGGGCTTGGGAAGGGGTGATATCAGCTATAGGGGGAGGCGCGTCGTCGCGGGGTGCGTCGACACCCGAGTGCCCCGAGTCTTGTGCATTCTCTGCTGGGGGCTGCGCCGACAGTCACAAACAGACATACACAGGCAGATGCAAGCTCCATTAAAAACATGCATTTTACCAGAGCAGTAACAAAAACACAAATCATGCAGGGAATCTTGCTACTGACATGCCCTCAAGACCCAATTCTGATCCAAATTTGTAGATGGATAAGAAATGGATTTTAAAACCAAATGATGAATAAGCGACTTGTGTGTTAATTGTGAATTTCTTGGGTGAAAGCGGATTTAAAGCCACTGAAAGCAATCTATTGAAAGCTATGTGTTTCTGAACATCATGAGCCCAAAACAAAAATCATGTGATTGGTAAAACCCTCTCATATTTCTATTCTCATTGTGAATAATCGATATCGCTCTCTAAAGGCGATGTAGTGGACCAAAGTACCTCCACAGTATCCCCACTGACTGGATGTTTATCCTTCTCTGGGGGATCCTGGAATGTTGGGACTTTCTTCTCTGAGTCCACCTGGGTTGCGTCCACATGAGTGGGGCACTGGGGACAGATGGGATGCTCTTCTTGTGGCGGCACAAGTGACCGGTTCTTGGTGCTGTCCTGCTTTGGGGTGACGTGAGTGGCCAACACCGGACTGACCTTGGCAATCATGGTGGCAGAGCGAGGCTTGGCCGCACGACCTCGTTGGACAGTTTCCCAGCCTTCAGAATCTTTTTTACCTTTGTACAAAACAGTTCATTGTTTTGTCCCATTTTCATGCTTTGTTCCGGGTTTGTGCAGTGGAAAGATGTCTTACTTGGCTTTTCGACAGAAGAAGTCATCAGCTGAGTAGAACTTGGAGCAGACTGCGTACATTTCACTCTGTCTGCCCAACTGGGGCCCGTAAGAGATAGCCGGGCTGCGGCCAGTGCGGGTGGAGGTCCACTGGATAAGACATACACAATATACAACAAATTAATAACAAACTAAAAGCCATGTACACATTTTGCCCCGACAGCAAATAAACATACCGTTGTACTAATAATACCAATCGGAGTGTTAAAGCAGAGTACAACTATCTTTGTCAAATTAATATTGGTGCATATTAATTTTTTGTTTGTGCAGATGGAAGTTATGATGGGAGTGTATTATTAACACAAATATTTCACAGTAAAGGTCCAGTAATGTGGGCACTACATTTTGGCAACGCACAGTGGAACAAAGAGATAAAAGATTTACCCAAAATTTAGGGCCCGACGTGCACCCGGGGAGGAAACCATTCTGTCTGCAGAGGCATTAGGCACCACGTGACGTCCTGGTGACATCTTACGTAATTCCCAGGCTAAAGACGTAGGCCTGTAAATTAAAAGCAGTGGTAGCGAGACAACATGAATAAATATTCAAAAAGCTATTCAGGTACAGTATAAACTTTGACAACTTAAGATTTATATGTCCAAGTGGATACAGACAATGAAATGGTTTCTGTGATAAAGAGAAAATAAACGTGTGGATCTTTTTGAAATGGAGCCAGGACCATTGATCCTTTGTTGGTGCCTGAAAGCCAATGAGCAGACAACAGCACTTTGTGGTCACAGTTCGACCTTGAAAAGGGAGGCTGAAGGGGGTGACAGTAAACAAACAGGAAATGAATGAGGGCAAAAGACAAAAGAGATCACCTGTTCTGGGCATCGGTTTTCTCTAGCTTCTCCTGGAGCTGAATCCAGTCGATGAGGGCTTTGAAATCCCGCACGTAGTTGTCCAACATCATCAACACTTCCTGAGAAAAAAAGAAATGCAAAATGACAGCAAAAGGTGAAAAAAATACAAGCACTGGGCCTTATAATCAATCAGTTAATTGCTCAGTCAGTAATTGATTGATTGTGCGGTATTAACCTTGAAGTGGAAAAAAAAATGCACTAACTGGTGACAACAACCAGATGAATCGGCTGATGATGGATACTGATAGTGGCTTGATAGACAGGTCGATATTCCTCTCAATACAACAATGACATGGAAACAGGAGTTGAGAACATTCATATCGCGGATATGCTAGTCCATTAAAATATAGTCTTTTTTTTTTTTTTTTTTTTAAATTACGAGGACAATTGAAACCTGAACAGAGGAAAGTTGCAGGAAAGGTCAGCAAGTTCATGTGCGCAAAACGCTTTGAAGCAAAACAGAGCAGGTACATTGTTGATAGGGAATCCCTCTTATCCGCACTTGTTTTTTTTAGATGTCCCAGAGGTGTTGGGCTGTTGGGAGCTACCCCCCACCATGGCCACAACCAACCCTCCGCAAGCTCTAATGAAAGCAGACAACTGATGGATGGAGATCGTGAAGGGAGTGGTAATTGAGAGTAAAGCTTCACAGTGCTTTTAGTTAATAGACAAGTCAGGCCAGTGAAAGATGCGTCCAGCGTCCAGCAGCAGCTCCGATGATTGGAGCTGGTTAACAAAGACCCCCTCTGTAGCTCGCCGCTCATTTGGTAATGACGGCCGAGCCGGTCCTCTGACGGACAAAGTCCAAAGCGAATGGAGGCATCGTAAAGTGGCTTTTAGCATGTTAACAGGCACACTTACCTAAATACAACCCTCACATAACATTTCACAACGAATGACAACATGTTTAACCTCCGAGAGGCCTTGCCATTAGGCCGGTCAGTAAAAGCCAGTGGTCCATATAGACACACAAAACAAATGGATCATTTTGATTTTTTGGGGGCTTCATTTAGAGAATGAATTTGGAAAAATATACACTCACTGGCACAACATTAAGAGGTGCTACTGCATAATCAAATGAATTTCTACGAGATGTATCGAAATGTTTACATTTATTAAAATAAGTCCCAGTTTTATTGACACTGCAACCAAAGTATTAAGTACTACACTTGTAGTCCATGTCATAACATGACACACGCAAAAAATGTACACACGCACACACACACACACACACACACACACACACACACACACACACTTTTTTATCACTTTGCTAAATATCTCAAAAAACAGTTGTAAAGGTTATTATAGATTGCATAAATGTAAATAATAAATTGCCTGGTAGGTGCACGTAACAAACAATGTCTGAATGTAAAATGTTACCATCCAAATTGAAAGATCTGAAACTATGTAAACTGTGATGTGTAATCTTGACTGCGTTGTGTAGTAATGTCCAGAAAAAAAAACATTTCCGGGGAACAAAAAGAACAAATAACTGCGAGTTACTCTAATTCAGCACAAATGCATCACTCTCTAGGTTCGGACAACCATTTCAATCAGTGTAATTTGAGCAGCAATAATACAATCTCTATCCAAGATGAAGGCTGTTTTTATGGCTTTGATGCTATTAGGAAGGAGCTTGTTGAGCTGTTTGTGTGAGAACAGCCCACAACTCCACTGGGGGATTGTAGGTGGGGGGCTGTCAGAGCACTCTCATTCAGGATGACTCCATCATCTATCAATTTCCACTGAGCCCAAACTGGGTGGGATGGGGGTTATGAACAGCACCCTGTTCTAGAGCCATTACAAAGCATTAGTGTGTTGTGAGATGAGCGGAGTTTGAAGTAAAAAAAAAAAAAAAACGCGATATAGTGATCACACCACATGGATCAAGGCTACAGTCCTGACCACGGACAATTACCAGAACCATGCTCGGCATAATGCAGCCTGGCAGATGATTCAATACAAGGCAAGAAGCGCGAATCAACTATTCAAAATATAGCACAAAAACAAAACTCACAAAATCAGCTCCAAAGTCAGGTTGAACGTATAGCAATATTCAACAGTCAAGAGAATAACAATATTTTCAGGAAGTAAGATGCCCAAGAAACACACAGTCTGTCATCAATATTCCGAGCAGGCTGCCAAGGGCGAGCCCTGTGATAATTCTCTCAGCAGTGTGGGCCTCTGACAAAAAGCAGAACTCAAGAAGAATGTGGCCTCTATTTAGATGCCAATGCCTCCCTCTAGTGTTCTCATCAACGAAAAAAAAAAAAAAAAAGATCATGAGCCCACAGCCACGAAATGTAGATTTGAGTTTATGAAGTTCTGTTGCATAGTATTTGTTTTTTCAAATGTGCTGACCTTGCATTCTACAACACTTTGATCGGACTCGCACGTGACGTAGATCTCATCCACTGCACGTCGCAAGTTGTCAAAGAGAAAGGCCCAGTAGCGTGCTCGTAGGTCCACTTTGCGAGGCTGCCGGGCTTTTGTAGGGCTTTTCTCTGTCCCCTTTTCCAACAAGGTGCCAGCTGTGCTTTTACTCTCCACACCAGTATTCTGAAATCAAACAACAACAACACATCCCCAGTTATAAGAGTGACATTCGTTGCATTTGTTTATTTACTTTTTAAAAAAATTAATATCAATGTTGGAAAAAGTTTTAAATAATTTATCTTGGACTCTTTATAAAATAGCATTAAAAAAGCATGTGAACAGAAGTGTGTAGTGAACGTTTTTTATCCAACTTTATGTAAAATGCTTATTAAGCGTTCAAAGAACAAAGTGTAAAAAGTAATTAAAATATGTATCTGGTGCCCTCTGGTGGAGATAGACCCAACACTCACCTGTTTCTTATTCCTTTGCTGCCCAGAATGAGTCCTTTGGGCTCTTGAGCTGCCAGTGGTGTGACTTTTGGACTTTGCTGCACGGAGAAAATGGAAACCATCCTTATAAAACGACTGATCCAATTAGAAATGTATCCCAACGGACAGTGTGTGTCATCAAGCATAACAAATGAAAGCCCATTTACAAGTATATAGCAGAATATCAGAGACAGAAAATGCATGACATTGGTCCTCCCAGAGTTCACAATGTTCACGTTTTGCCCTACGGGAAACTGTCACCATGTGAAACTTATATAAATGCATTTTTCAAGTACAATTTTAGTATTCATAGCAGTCAGCAAAGTGTCAGTCAAGTCTTGTGGGATGTCGTGCATGGCTGTTTTGAATTCAACGTTTTATATGGCTTAAGAGGATTATTTTTTCTAAAATCCATCTTTTTTTTAACTTAAGATGATCCATTGTACAATCGTGCTTCCTGACAGTTCCACCAATTTTTAAACTTTTCAAAAAAAGTCAAAATTCTTTGACTTGGAGATAGCACAAACATATTCTACTGTACTAACTAAAAGTCACTCATTTTGTGGCGAGAGAGGAGAGTAATTATAACCATCACAGTCAGATGCAATAAACGGGCTAAAAACGGGAAGAAAACAACAAACTGATAGAACTGCACTGAATGAGTGTGGGAGGGGTGCGAGTGGGAAAACAGAGTGAACAGAGTGGCTCCTTGTGTGAATAATTTCGTGAAAAAAAGTGTTAAGGTGGCCTCTTAATGCAGAAACATAAATTTGGCTTGCGAAGCACTGACCTTCCTCTTCTTTACTCTCCAGTGGGACACTCCACGCAATCAGGTTCCGAGCAGCGCGACCCTCTTCGGCGACGATCTTTCGTACTTTATCATGACTGTTGGAGCGCTGGAAAGATGCCTGTAAGAGGATACAGAACGTCAATATTTCACCTCATACAGGATCTGGTACAAGACGGTGGACAGCAGTCGGACTGACGATAAGGAGAGTTTCACTACAATATACATGTCACGTACAATGGTGCCTTGAGCTACGAGTGACCCAATTTATGAATTTCTCAAGATACAAGCCCAATTTTTTGTTTTGATTGTCGAGCATATAAATATGACAGACTTGAAGTTGATGGAGGTGGACTCGACTCACATCACAACAAGCTGCGGTTTAGCACATAGAAAGCAATTTAAAAATCAAAACAAAGAGGCTTCAATGTGGGTTTTTTTGTCACTCTTAGTTGAGCTTTACTATCAAACATAAATATATACTTTTTGCACAAGACTTACAAGCCTTTTCATCACATTTGCAAGACATTGACTTTCCAGTCATGACGCATCGCACCCTTCGAGCCGTCATCCCCAATATGCTTCAAAATGCTGAAGGAACAAGCATCTTAAGAAAAACACCGCTCTCTCTCAAATAAAACTATCCATTCAATTGAGATGTGCGTCTTCAAGTATTTGAAATCAAAAAGATGCAGAAGGTCTGGCCTACTGTATATGAGCCGAGCATAATGTGACACTTTCCTGCACTTGTGTGCAAGAAAGTCACATATAGTGTCTTGCACCCATTCACCTGCTGTGACATTTTTTATTGGATGCATTCTTTGCTCCAGTATAGTTCTATAGATCTTGTGTTGGATCTCAGTAGTCTATTTGAATGAAGCGGCTGGTGTGTGTTGCTTCGAGTTTGGCAGTGTGACGTAAGGATGTTGTTGCTATGGTTACCCATTTCATACAGTGCTAAAACGCGGTGTGCTTTGGTGTGAACGTCTGCAAAAGGGCACGCTGCAGACTTGAAAATATCCAGCTTTACAGGCAACGAGGAATTATTCTGGAACTGGACACAACCAGCAATGGGATGCACATGTTTGACTTCATGCCATAGAGCTGTGCAATATATTGCACTGTGACAATGATGCAACATATCGGTGAGCGCTAGCCTGGAGTCAAATGAGCCACGAAGCGAGCGCATTAAGCAGAAACAAGTCTGTGACAAGAAACAGCTCGAGGATGGAACCAATGCGCTTTGCGGCCAACGTGCAGCATGGCTGACCTACACATCGAGTATGCATCAGTGAGCGTGGATGCTCAAACCACAGCAAAATAAAAAGTCCCACATCACATTGTTATCCTTTGCACCACAAGACCGGCTGTGAAATAAAATCTGGCAGTGAATTCTCTCTGGCGTGTTAAAGTGTTGAAATGAGAGAACAAATGCGCTTTGCATTTGATATGAAGTCAACAATATGATAAAAACAACTCAACGTGCTCAGTTGTTAAAGAGACTGCTTGATTCTGGTATTCATGTCTTTAGTCTTTCATTCATTGGAGTCTCGCTCCATATAATGGCCTCTACTTCCTCAGCTTTAATTAATAACTGTTGTGAAGCAGGGAAAGTTGAAAACGACCATCGGGTGCATTTTTTTTTTCCTTCTGCCTTTGTTCAACCTGAAACATTGTCTTACTAATTAGTCACAGAACAACCCATTGGCGCAAATGTACATCCGTGGTTATTCTTGTCAGCAGAAAGAAAAGATGTCCATTCCAAAGCAACACAACAATAAATTGTCGATGGCTTTCGAAAGCAAAATTCTGCAGAAGAATCGCTTCAAGAGTTATTCATCAAGGTAGAATAGCTTGTGTGGGTGTCACATTATGCAGTGCCAACATGCACAGTGCATTGGTCCTGATACTATTTAATGTTCCCCAGGGAGATACCCAGCTGACCTACTTTTGGTGCGCAAAAATTCTTCATGGCAAGTGGTCTAAGCGCTTTATTCTTCTGAGAGATAAGAACACAGAAATAAGATGACACTCCGAGCCTTGAACACAAATACAGGAGAATCCCTTGCCCGCTCGCCGCTAATAGACAACACAACGCTATAAGCCAGCTAATTAGCAGAGCATCGCCGGTCTCCTGAACTAAACTGGAAAAGGGCGCAGACTCCTTCGCTGTGCACCGGAAACAAGAACCACTTTCCAAGCCGGTGGTTTGTGAGGAGCAAGTGTAAGGTTTCCCTTTCGGTCCCGGCAAGCAACAAAACAGGAGCGAGCCCCTTAGGAGGAAAGTAAAACATGAAATACATACAGAATAGAAGAGGAGTGCAGAAGCCGCTTCTTGGTCCTCGTCCAGCCCTGACATGCTGTTGCTGCCCACTTCAGGCGCCCTCTTCCCCCTCACCAGCAGCGCCACTTGTGCTACAGGCCAAGACCATTTGACAGGGGGACGAAAATAGACTCCCGGTGCTCGCCCCACAACGTCATTGCAACTTGCCCCGATAGTTCAACTTGTCTCCGAGAAGACTGGGGAGTTAGGCCCAAACTGGCTGCTGCTGTCCATCAGCTCAGCACTGCGTGCCGCTTGTTACATTTGCAGCTTCTGTGCTCCACTTGGAAGCCCCCCACCCCACACACTCTCTCTTCCTCGCACTCTCCTCCTGCCGCCACTCTGCGCAGTCATGCACACAGCCCACCGCCCCCCCCCGCCCCCAACCTGTGCTGCTAGTGATGAGAGTGTAGCTGCAGGCGAGGGGACAGCGTGTGAGTGTAACCACATATTCATATTAGCAACATAAAAGTGATGCCCACAATCTGATTGGACTCCGCATATGATGAGTCATAGTCTTATGGGGGATTAAAAAAAAGTGCAAGCCTTCATGGTTTAACTGCATGCAAAATGCTACTTTAGGATTAGCTATTTTTGCATCTTAAATATTTATATTTTAAAGGCTGTGTCAGAGGTGGTTAGAACAGCCACGAGGTCCTAAATATCAGCACAGACCCTCCTGTGTTTAATTAATCGAATACAAATCGACATTGCAATGTAGTACAATTTATATCAACTGGTAAAGGCTGCAATTTGTTAAAGAAAAAATAAGCTTAATTTTGATTGGTAGGCTTCATTTTAATAGGTGTAATTCATTTATTTTATAGTGTCTAGTTTAGTGCTGAAGAAGTGCAGTTTGCATGTTGACATATCACTGTTTCATTTTATGTAAAAAGTTCAAGAGATAAAGCCATTGATTTTTTTTGGGGGGGTCAAAACTCAAAATCGCACGGCCCCCCCCTCCCACACACACACACACACACACACACACACACACACACACACACACACACACTTGTATGTGGCCCATGGTGGCGGTTGATATTTTTATGATGATAGTAATCAATTGCAGGTGCTGACAAACACAGAGCATATTAGGTGTGGGAAAGGAATTAAAACAGCCTCACACTCAAGCCCAGAACTGGGCAAAGTACAAGGCCACATTTTGTCCTCCCACAGACTCTGCTTGGCCCTCAGAGAGACCATGAAGTCAAAGTACAGTAAAATGTAAAATATGTGATGCTTTTATTTTGAAAATTATGCTTTTATTTTATGTGAACACATATGGAGACCAGTACAAGCGAGGTCGTGAGAGCTGCCACTGGTGTCTGCAGTGTTGCCAATTTAGCAATGTTTTTCCGACATTTAGCGACTGTTCTGAAAAAAAACGTACACAATTTTTTCGTTTGGGCAGGACAAAATTTCGAGACATTAACTGGTCGTGTGTGTGTGTGTGTGTGTGTGCGTAGCTAGATATCTATGTAGCTATCTGGATACCTAGATAGACAGATTTTATCAATAGTTTACCATAAAGAAAACAAACTATTACACTTCCTTAACGTGAAAAGATTTAAGGCGTGGACATTGAATTTGTTGCCGTTGAGACTAATTTGCATTTACATTTTGTTTTGATGCTGTACCTATTGTGAACCGAACCAGCGCTTAATCCCGTTTTATCACTAGTAGCATCACGACTGTATCATTGCAAACCAGTTTCGACATGCAAATCGTCCACTCACTGTACACCATCACTCATTTGAATTTAGATACACGAGGAGTTTGTTGTAACTAGTCACCATTCAGTTTCACATTAGCATCGTTCCTCTTAGTCATTTCCATAGCACAGACACATGTGACCGCTAACCATGGTGTCAAAAAAGATCACAGGAGAACTGGTAGCGCCACACCCACTTGAATGTAAGGGCATCCCAAAAATGCGTTTTATCGCGGCTGCTAGCTAGCAGCAGCTTTAATCCAGCTATGCGCCAAACAAAGACGTCGGAGGCGACCACTAGGTCCTCAATTTCAACAGAAAATGAACGAAATTAGATTCCGGTTACCTTGAGCGCATTAATGGACGCGTTTTTATTTTTGCCTCCTCCATGTGACGACCCCGAGCTGTTGCTGCCAGACCTTTCCCTCCCGTCACCTCCGTGGCCGACTCTCGGTCCCAGACGGTGCTGCCCCGCGCCGCGCCGTCGTCCGTCGTGGCGACCGTCTTTGTTCATCGAGTCGCGCTATGTCCAACGCTTGGTCGGTGATAAATTTGAAGCCAGTCGTTGAAATGTGTCCAGTTGTTAGAGTGGATGGGAAACCATGTTACATGACAGCGAGTTTAAGCTACCAAGAAACGGAAGTTAGTTGACATTGCGAAGTTTTGGATAGACGGCATGCGGTCCAATCACATTACTCGAACGTGAGAGCGACATGTTTGATATCCAATCGAGTGCAGAATAATTCGGGTCACAAGCGGGACTTGTTTATGAGGGGCGGGACTGCACGTCTCTACCATGGCAACCATAAAGATTGAGCGGGCATTTCGCTGAACGTGAGAAAATTAATTTACTTTCAAAATAAAGGTACTATCATGGTGCGACGTTCTGGATACAATAGGAAATCGGCATTTACGTCATTAGAAGACACAGAATTCCCTTAATTCGGGACATCATTTCAGAATGACTTCCTAAAAAAAAAGATGTTATGTCAAGTGAGATAAATTGTGAAAAATAGGTTTACTCAAGTCTCATCAATTCTCTCATACTTACGATTATCTCCATTCTTTGCTCAAGTTTTTAATACCACTGTAGCCTCGACAATGCTGTCCCAATGGAAGTGTTTCGAAGTAAGTTAGTTTTGTCTCATGTGGTTAATAAACACGAGACCGCAAGCGAATTACAAGTGATAAATATCTTGCAAGACTTGAAACGTACGTTTGTGACCACAACTACGACGTCTACGCGTGTTTGAGCGACGTTTTACCATGGGTCATTGTTTCAAACAAATATACGACCATTTTTTTTCTCGGCAATAATAAAAAAAAAAAAGTATTGTTATGCTTTGAAAAAGCACTAAATCTTTTTGTTCATGTGCAGTAACTACAGTACATAGAAAAGCAAAAGTTTTACTGTGAAACGTCTAACCGGAAATGCGTCTGTCTCAGGCCCACTCTAAGCTAACCCCGGCAACATTTTTGACAACTTTTCACGGTAACTGCAAATATTCACTCGACAAAGTCTACGTTACACAATTCGACTAGTTGGTCGTTATTTCGCATTACGGATACGTTCTGATATTTTGACTCAGGTTCTGCCGTTCTGTCTGTTTGCACGTCGTTTTGCGTATTGTCACTCATCATCCACACTTGAACTCAGGTTAAAGCAGAATACTGTGTCCACATCTATCAAAGTTTAACATCTTAACTTAACGGGGGGGCAAGTGAGTGTTTACAAGTGTGTGTTTGTGTGTGGTATACTCGCGAATTCCAGGTGAACTCATCTTACACTACGCAACGATCTGAGGTAGTACCGAAACTGACCTGTGAGAGGCATCATGGTACCACATGGCGTCCAGAAATACAAAGAAGTAGAACGTGTATGAATATAACAAATGGCAGAAGCGCGGCTAAATGTTAGAATAAATGGTAATAACTAAATCCTACAAGCAAGTGAGCTATAGAAACGCTGCCACTTGAGGGAAGGGGATTAAAGTGCTATCTCACCACTTAAGCAATCGGAAATGCTGTACAATTGTAGTGGCAAACCAAGCAGTGAAGTGGTGAAAGGAAACGATCGACTGACTAAATGAAGTGACTCCCATCACTTTAACGTAGTTTGTTGGCCCCAAGATGGTGCCAAACCGATAGTTTTACATAGGGCATTAGTATGAGGATACATTTTAAAATAGTCATTAGGCAAACTACTTTCGTGAATGTGCAGGGTGACACTGTAGATTAATTGATAAAACATCAGAATTGAATCAAAATTTTAATAAATGATCAATGAGTATCCTAACATTGACTTGTGACGATCCGACCGATTTCTATATCTCCCCAGAGATGGAGCCCTCTACCGTGACGGCAGTTGTATTGCTTGCCCTTCAGTTTGTGTTGGTACTAAGCTCTCACAAACACGAAGACCATTTAGGACACCAGCTACATTCCGAGCATGACATGAATGTCCTGCTGGGGGAGAAGGTTTTGAAACACCATTCCTGTATTTTCTTTTTATCTTGATCACCTTGTGACTCTCAGCTCTAATGTGATGCCTTTGTAGGACCCTGAGGAGTTAAAGAAACTCAGTCCAGAAGAGCAGAGAAAGATGATGTTGGAAATTGTAAAGAAGATTGACAAAAATGCTGACAAACACCTAAGTGCAGGTAACATTGTGTGGACTGTAACACTTGGAAAAGAAGTAAAGGTGACTAAGTAATTGATAGCCGTTTCTTCATAGAGGAGATTGCTCTATGGATTCAGCATGTGTATCGAAAATATGCCCTGGAAGACGCAGAGGAGCGCTTTGCTGAATTTGACACAGACAAAGACGGTGTAGTATCATGGGAGGAGTACAACATGGCCGCTCATGGCCAGCTGTTTAATTTTGATGAAAGTACCATCCTGGATGATCCTGAGCAAGAGTCTCTGCGACATGTACGTGCACCGACATCCTTATGGCAGTGTGAAAAATTAAAACACTGAAAAGTCATCTTATCCTCCTGTCAGCTCCACCTGAAGGAGAGGAGGCGCTTCAATTTCGCTGACCTGGATGGTACACCCGGCCTCAATGTAACAGAGTTCTTGGCCTTCACTCACCCGTCTGAAATGGACCACATGGCTGTAAGATCAAAGTAGAGCTTTTTCTACCTTGTGCTTGCGTGAATGTTTAATGTCAAACGTTTTTTTTTTTGGGGGGGGGGTTGAATATATTTAGAATGTGTTTAAAAAAAGTGTCTGAATATAATTACAATGTGTGGTGTGTTTTAAACTACGAAATGGGTGGACAGGCAATGTTCTCCGCATTTTAGATTCTCCCATTCATCTTACTACAGGATTTTGCAATTGAGGATGTGCTGAGTGACTATGACTTGGATCAAGACGGACTGATCAGTCTAAAGGAATTTATCGGTGAAGTTCGACGTGAAGGTTAGTACATTTTGATTTAAAAAAAAAAAACAAACTTCAAATATACTACTGTTCACTTCTACAATAGCTTCACGGGGTAACGTAAACTGTGGTTCCCTTTAACACGCTCTCAAATTGGAACTGTAGTTGGGTTGAATGATGAAAAATCTAACTCTTGATTTAATTAGTACACATCGACATGAACTTTTGACGCCCCTTTGAAAATCCTGTCAAATTTTCTCCCTGTCTTTTAAAGAGGATGCCCCTTCGCAGTGGGAGGTTGAGGAGACCGTGCGCTTCAAGGACTTGTACGATCAAGACAAGGACGGCAAGTTAAATCGAGAGGAGCAACTCCGCTGGATTGCGCCCAACGGCTACGGCGCCGCTCAGGAAGAAGTAAGACTTGACTTGAATGTGAAGTTTTGTTTGCCTCCATTTGCTTGATGACAGAGTGTTCATTTCTCGTACTCGTCATCATCAGGCTCTTCACCTCATTAAAGAGATGGACCAGGATGGAGACGGGCAGATCTCAGAGGCCGAAGTCTTGCAAAACCAAGATATTTTCATGAACAGTGAAGTGACGGACTATGGCAGACATCTGCACTTGTCACATGATGAATTATAACTTTAAAATCAGCATTTTGTCATTTGACCCCAATTTCAATCTGAATTTGTATTTACTTCAAGCAGCACAAGACTGCTGAGGAACTTTCTAAACTAGCAACACGCTGACCGGCTCATTGGTTATCGCAGGCGTGTGAAAAAGCGAAGTGGCAGTCTACTTGTGTTTGCTGCCCGCTGACACTCTTCCTCTTTTCACACAAACGAGCGGCAGTGCTCAGCGACGGCTCGTTTCCTGGACCGTTTCACTCGTGTCGAGCAGCCGCCTGTCAAACCCGCTGGTGTTCACTTCAGAGGCACATTAAAAAGGTGAAAAGTATCTCCAGAGAGGGAACCACTCAGCATGGAGTTAGAGTTTAAGGATGCCTTTTGGGTGAGCATGTGCCATGATTTAGATTATTTTTTAAATTTTGTTGTTATGGGTTTGAGGCTCAGGTTGACTGTGGAGTTAGTTGGTCACGCTTTTATATTAAGTGTAATGATAGCCTCTGCACTGTTTATTTTACCACCAGCAGCATACAAGATGCAGTGAAAAGAGAATTCCGAAACCTGCTTTTCAAAACTGATGTAATCCGGTCATGAATGTTAGTTCTCTTTATTATGCAGCTCTGTTCATGGCTTTCTATACAGATATGTAGCACTGACAAATGTCCAAAGGAATTGTTATATTCTTTTTTTACATTTTACATTACATTCTTGGAAGTACCTATGAGAGGTGAGCTAAACACTTGGTTCAATGTTGTATTCTTTGTTAATTAAGGCTACATCATTTGAAAGAAAGAAAAAAAAAAAGCATTTCCCGGGTTTAAAAATGAAAAATGTTACTAAGCTACCGACGTAAACATTGGTTTCTGTCTTGTCCATGAGATGAATAATAAAATACATACAACATAATTTGGGTTAATGTAAATGTTTCTTGTGGGAATGTCTTCTATTGGTGAATTCAAGCTATTCACTAACATGGTGATTAAGTTGTCAAAAATGCGCCCCACGGATGGAGAAAACTCAAGTTGTAATCACATCTTGCTACAGAAAAACTTAAAACTAGAGATGTGAAAGTGAATGTAAGGGCCATTTCAATGAATCAGTACCATTTGCGTCCCCATTGAATAAACTGTATATTATGCGTGGTAAATTTACTGCAAAATAAATGTTTTATCAAGCAAAGTGTCCTCCACGTTGATCCAATTATATATTTCATAAATGTAATAGACTTACAGAAATGGGGGGAAAAAAATGCATGAGCAAACTGAAAGAGGATGCCTAATGCGGTCTATGGTCTTCCAGGGAGGCAACTTCATTAGTCACGCTGGCTACGAGGCCATCATCCAGAGACTAAACGACGGTCGGCGTACGTGCAAAGACATTGAGGATCTGTTCAAAATGAGGTGGGCCTAGGCTGTCAACTGGTGGCGTGCGCAAGGTGATTGAATGTGATGTCAGCTTGACTCCGCATTGTGGTCATCGTGTCTGTCACAGGGCATCTGCAGAGGAGAAATATGGCAAAGAACTCGTCGCCATCTCACGCAAGGTTGGAGGTTTCTATGAAATCTGGTGGGTGATGTGTGTGGGCATGCACTGCAGAAAATGTGTTAAAACATTGATGATGTCACATCCTCTAAGCATGCGTTTGTTTCCACAGCACGCTGAGAACGTCTATTGATGAAATGAAAACGCGTAAGAAGAAGATAGTTGTATGTTTTGTTTTGGTTTTTTTTTTTACACATCCATAAGTCAAGCCTTGTTTGCTTTTGTTTTTTTCCCCTTGCAGAAATGGAAATGATAGGCAACTTGCACATGCAGCTGTCTGGCCTTTTAAAGGAGGAGGCGAAAAGGATCGAGCAGTTCAGAGAGAAGCAGAAAGATCAGAGAAAAAAGGTTCTTTTGGGGCATGGGCAGCTGGAGGGAGGCATTTTATTTTTTTTTCTATTTTATAGTTGACATTTGGTTGTCCTTCCTCCTCAGGTTGAACTCGTCATGGAGAAGGTCCAGAAGGGCAAAGTGTCCTTCTACAAGAAAACAATAGATGTAAGGTCAACTTGTCCTGTGAAAAAATCAATTTAAGTTTTAATGCAGTAAAAGTACCGTAAGTCAGTGCAGATCACCTGACATGAAGGCAACAATATTGGTTAGTGGAAAGGCTATTTGACTGGTTTGCAAGTATAAGGCTGGCTTTGATGTATCTGACAAAGAACAAAGGGTGGTCAGTTATACCACGTTGGGTTTTTTTGGTTTTGTTCCATGATTAGCTGTAGGATGAGTAAGGCGGCAGGAATTGTCAGATGCACAGGGCATTGTTAGCAGGCGTGTTGCCATGGTCAAACAGTGACGGGTTGTCTTGCCACAATGCCCATCTCACCAACTTTTGTGATGCCAGTCCTGGAACATTTCTGATACACTTTGTATTGTTTGGAGTAGGTGGCGGTTGTACGGTTGTTTGGTCGTATTTTGAGCCAACCGTACAGTTGGTTCAGTCGTACACTTATCTTGCTATTGTTTCACGTGTCTCTATGTCCGTCACAGTCCGCAAGACACTACGAACAACGCTGCAGGGAGGCGGACGAGGTCGAGCAAACGGCGGAAAAGATGAGCAACACTTCCACAGCCACACCGAAACAAATCGACAAGGTAACAATGTGTTTGTCAGTCATAGAGTTACATGATGAATGTCATTTGTGTCATTAGATGTTCTTCAAATTTGTTCGTACCCGAAAATGACCCTTGTTGATTTTTTTTTTTTCAGCTGAGCAACAAATCCAAACAATGCAGGGAAGCTGCAGAGGAGGCGGGTAAGGAGTTTGTGTGCTGCAACTACTTCCCTTTTATTGAGGATGTCACAACTATCTATTCAAATTCGATGCCATTGTGACATAGAATAACCTCCATTCCGTGAAGCCATTATGACAAATGCAAATTCAGAGTTTTACATCTGTGTGCTTAATCTTCTAATAAATCTTCTACCCCATAGAGAGGCAGTACAAATCCAACATCGAGCAGCTGGACCAGCTCCGTCAAGAGTGGGAATTAACACATAGCAACACATGTGAGGTAACTCATGACACATAACACGGTCTCAGTCCATTCCCAAGAGAGGAATGTACACCCGGTTAAAAAGAGCACAACCTTAAACCAAGAGCGGTAATACCCGTTGCTTGTTTTCTCAATGAGGATGTGCAACACTTCCTATGATAAGACAATAAAGCGAGTCACCACTCTGGAAACTTCCTATGTTGGCACAAAATGTTCTTTAAATATAAGGTCAAACATTTATAATACAATCAATCGGAGATTTTCACGTGGTGCTCCAGCAAGGTCCTAAAAGGCCAGATTGGTCATTTTGATTGCACTTGAATCACCCAAAGTCAGTGTTGTAAAAAGTTAATTTCCCAATCATGTCGTCTTTCAGATGTTTCAGCAGCAGGAAGCGGAGCGCCTGAGTGCTCTGAGGAACGGGTTGTGGGTGCATTGTAACCACTTGTCCATGCAATGCGTGAAAGCCGACGAAGTGAGCCGTCATACATCCAAAGTATTCCGTCTTCAGCTCATGTTTGAAAACGGAATGCTATTTAGAATGTCTTCTGCTTACAGTGCTATGAAGGTGTGAGGAAGATTCTGGAAAAGTGTGACATTATCGCTGACATGAACTGCTTTGTGGGGATTAAAGGCACCGGCTCCAGCCGTCCCGGTAGGCAGCCCTCCGGATTTGAATATGACACGGGAGAATATTTTCATGTTATCTCTGACATGCACTCATTGTGTGGATCAGGATATCATTCAGTTACTCTTGTCCTCCTCTCCAGCTCCCATTAAATACCAAAATTACTACGAAAAGGATGGCACAGAGGTCCGAAATGGAAGCACAGGACTTGTAGGCGGAGTCATGAAAAAGTCGGAACAACAAATTTGGATACGCAATCACGCAGCCGAAAACAATTGTTAAGATTGTACTGTTCTCATTTGTAGGTTTTCAAATCTCCTCCAAGGGAACTCTTTGGCAGGCTCCAGTATGAGCATTCACAAAGATCCTGGTGCAGACAGTACAGGTAAGGCAGGGGCTGAATGAAATATGTGCCAATAAGAAACTGGAATCATGTATTTGAATTGTTAATCTTGAATAATTGCTTTCAAAACGCAAGTTGAACTCCATAAATTTAATGTGTGTTGTTTAATTGGAATCATTGCATCGAAAAACTGAATCTCAATTGTACAATTTCAATTTAAACTTAAGAGGGCGTGCAAGTACAAAAATTTTTTTTTTTTTTTTTTTTACAAACCACACGGACACCTGTTGTACTCACACCTGTGAGTAACGTGTTGATAAATACCGCCTGTTCTAAGCTAGCACGCTCGTGCACATCTAGCCTCATTTGTTCCGAGAAACACCTGCAATTGACCATATGCAGTAGCAGGAATCTCGTGAAGAAATCCAAAATCATGGCAAAGAAGGCAGACAGAATTTCTGAAACTGACAGAGTGACAGTCATCCACGAACTGAATACATGTACATGTATTGTAAATAGTACTCTTTGGAGCAATTATTGCAGGTGTCCTGTCGTAAGTATGACTCGAGTTACCCCCCCTTTTTAACCCCCTTAACTTACGCCCTGTCCGGATTGACCTTCATTCTGTGGGCATGACTGACATCTCTGGGTAGAAGCAACCATTTTAAAATCCACGATAAAGTGAGACCGCAAAAATGAACAGCAGAAATATGGTGCGCGACAACTACCGGTATTTTGTGCTCTGAAGGACATTTCCTACTTCTCTGCTTGCAATGACATAATTTCTACCCACAGTCTTAGAAGAATAAAGGCGCACTTTTCCTGAATAGGCTGCACATTTAGTCCTTTTAATTGACTCGACTAACTCCACAGGGGACTATGAAGACGTCTATACCGCCATCCCAAAGATTCACAGCTCCCACCAGGGTGAGCAGTACAAGGCAGTGTATGAGTACGTGGCCCAGGTCTGTTCTTTGCTCTACTTTCACTGATTTGTTCCACTGAATATGGAAAAGGTCACTGCTGAAGGTGGTTTATTTTTCTTTAGAGAGACGATGAGCTCTCCATGTTTGTTGGGGACGCCGTGCTCGTCATGAATCAGGGTGAAGACGGCTGGTGGATGGTGCAGCGCGATGGCCAAACAGGGCTGGTTCCAGGCTCTTACCTTGCCAAAGAATGAGTTGAGACAATGGAACTCGGACTTGTCAGTAATTATATGTGAATAATGTAGTTTTTATTTCTCACATGTATTAAAATCTTAAATAATACCATATTCATAGTGTATTTAATTTAGCAGGGCCTTCCTAATGAGAAGTGTCCTGACCTGTCTTGTAAAAATACCAGCTGCCCTTCTATAAAAGCCAACAGCATCAGCTACTCGTGTCTCTGGAATTTCTGAAACCATAATGCAATAACCCAAGTCACTACACTCCTTTACAATTTAATTACAATCTTAGGAGTCAGTCGCTACAAAATGGAAAAAAAAAAAATCTAAAACTATGGACATTCCATGCTGTTGGGCACTGCCTCTGGTGGTCAGCAGGGACAAAATCGAACTACACTCAAGCGAACACAAGCGAAAGATATATATGCGTTACATATGGAAAAGGTAACTTACATACGAAGATGAGGATTGGAAAACGGAGACGTTACTATTACTTCGTGTTCATGCTGAAATTCACTGCAACGTTTCATAATGTGGTCTACCGGTCATTTACACATTGTGCAAATTAAAGAGGAAATCACCCTGTGCACATCTTCCATACAGTACAGTTTGGTTTGCGTCTAAAAGTGTAATCATACATTCTCAGCTACCATTGGAAGAAGTTGGACAACTATGCGGGGGAAGAAAAAAAAAATGCAGCTTCAGTGTCTTAATGTTTGTGTGGTAATGTATTCACCAATGCGTCTGAGCAGGTGATACTTAAGCATAGGTGCCTCCTGTGATGAGGAGCTGGTAGGCGGGATCGCTTCTTCTGCGACACAGCACGACACATGCCGACAACATCCCCAGAATCTGGTAGGGACGGAAAAGAGGAAAATGTGTTTCTATTGCATTTGTTGCACATCTCATCATCATGACACTTTCACTGGACATTTCATTAAGTAATTCTACACAATATGATGCAAATACAAAATCTGCAGATGGTATGTTTTGTGTCCTCGTTGAAAGAATGTGCGCATAATTATTTAACACAAAACTAAAATCAGCCAAATAATCACTGACCCACTATTTGTGAATGTTTTCCTTGAAATAGATAACCGAGTTAAAGGACCTCAATTGGTACCTCAAGGATGTGTTCACAAACGATTGCACATCTTATAAGGCAAAATCTCAGCCGTGGACCAGTATTGTCATTTCCAATTGTTGAAATGAATGTTCATTTATTCAAGTATGAACACATACAGTATGAACACATATAACAATACTCAAAGGCATATACTCATCCTAATTCGGAAAATACATGTTCTATAAATGAAGCTCAATTGCAACTTTCTGCTACGCTTATCTACAAAAGGGCACTCCGGGCATGAATAGCGCCACACTGCCCCCAAGAGGCCACGGTACGCACAGCTGAAACGGTCCATTTGTTTTTTTACTGCTATTTAAATATACTATTAGTTTACTTTGTTGCCAATTTATTTTCTGGTTCTTCTTTTAAGGAAATTTAAAGTATAGTTTTGGTAGTTGTTTAAATACTAAACTTGGAAATCAACACATAATCATGGATATTAATCATAAAATAAATATCAATTGAAGTAATCATAATATTATCCCCCGTCCACCCCAAAAAAAATTCCCCTGCCCTACTAGTTTAGAACCCAATAACGTACAACTGCTACAGTAGACAAATCCAATGTCATCTGATGTGATACAATGACATACCTGGATGACAGCAAAAATCAGCGCAGTCCAAATGATGTACATCATAATCTCTTTTAACTTCTTCACAACGAGCGCCTCACAGCCCTTGACACAAACAATACACAAGGAAAGATCCAGATGGAGAGATTAATTCAGCACTCAAACAAATCTGAGCCCCCCCTCCATTTACTTCTTGGTAGAGTTCTTCAGGACGAGTGAGGGACCCTGTGCAGAGTCCACCGACTTTTGTGTTGCAACAGCTGATAGGCACGCTGTTGTTCTTGGATGCGTCAAACCAACGTGTGTACTGCCAGTCCGAGTAATTGCGAATGCCGCAGCACTGGAGCTGCAAAATCAAATTTGGTTGCTGAGTAAGAGTGGCCGCATGTTCCCACCTTTTGTTGTGCGTCCTCACCTGTCTCTGAAGGTAGTCAATGGCACGGCTCTGTGCATTGCTGTTGGTGCCGTTGTACTCGTTATATACTTCATGGATGGAACTATTCACGTCGTCTTCAACCTGGCAACGGTAACGACATGAGTCATTCAAAATTCAAACACATTCAAATGCCGGTTTGCGCAGACAGAAGAAAACAGCTACTTGTGTACAGCATTCTCACCTTTGCTCTGTAAATATATCCCAGAACCACAACGGCTACTTCGGTCATGAAAACCACCAGCAGAATGATGACAAACTGTAAAGAAACGATCAGCAATTAATTAAAACTGAAACTACATGTTGTCTTTTGCATTCAAGACTTGCTCCTGTCATTCTTTATGTGTTTAGCTGTTTTGCTCATGCTTGTACGTGCGATAATCTTGTTCGGTTGTTAATATATATAATATAATCCTTTTTAATTTTCATAGCAGCGCTTTTGTATATCAGTGTGTACTGACCGTCATGAGTCCACAGTGGCTCTCTCTCACGGTGGCGCAGCATCCGATGAGGCCGATGATGAAGAGGAGCGCTCCAGCCGCAATGATGACGACGGCCGGGATCAGCGTGTACACGTCTTCGAAAAAGTGGTCGTAGTCATCGTATGTGATGAACACGTATGCGCCGGCATAGCAGAGGATGCCGGCGGCCGCCTGTCAGTGAGGAACACATAAAAAAAATATTCCTTTTATCATCCGTTTGAGAATTCACCTCAAGGTCATTTAGTAGACTATATTAAAATTGATGAACACTGTTAATGGTCTTATCTTCATGTGGTGTGTGTTACACACAAACAGTCTCTTAAAGATTTGGGGGCGGGAGGAGCTTATGTATATCAGGCCGTATACCAATGAACATATGAAACAGCATTATCATCATGTAAAAGCTCACATCCTTTTGGGTTTACTGAGTAAATGTTGACGCCATAAAATAATATCCTTCTGTACAGGATTCCGGCTCCATAAAATGCCAAAATACACACAACTTCCTAGTTCATGTTCTGCATGTCATCGTTTTGAATTACATCAGGAGTATAGCATTGAAATGGCTATACTTACTGTTACTGTTTTTTATATATTCCTATTTGCGACTTAGTTACGCATTCATTCACAAGTAATTATGATTATCCTTATGCATTAGCATATACAGTACATTATAGACTACGGCACGATGATAATTATGTATATTTCAACCCTAACCTACATTCATGTTATATTGAGCCAGAGACGGCGTTACACTGACTTAGAGGATGCAAAAGCCCCTTCAGAAATCAGTGAAGCCCATCCAACAGTTAACTATTTTTAATGTATTTATTCTTAATGTATTCAAGTTTTTTTTTAATCTCCGCTTGCGTGTTTGTGTCACACGTGTACACTACAATTATTAATTTCACTATTAATAAAATTATGGTGTGATTCGACGAAATATTGCCGATATGTGTTAGTTTGTTTTTATTAATTATGCATCAGAAACAAATGCACTTTTTTTAACCTCCTCAGGTGAAGTGATGAAATAAATTATTTTCTCAGTCAACCCCACCCCCGACTTAATTGTAGTGTGTCATATGTTTTCTTGGTTCTTTTGGGTGTAGACCAATGTATTTAATCGTTTAAAAATCCGATAACACAACCCCGGTTTGCTTCAAGTTCGACTGCTAACCGAGAAGTTACACTCCTCTCAATCTTATAGGTTCTTGGTTACACAAAGGCCGCCTGCAGAGAAAACAATGCTGTTCGCCTAAGAGCTAAACTCGCCACAAAGTTCCAACACAAACAATATTTAGTAGCTAGCTAGCCGGCTAGCTCGCTAAACGCTACCCCATGACGCACGACCAACTCGCAACAACACAATAAATCCACAAACTTACCCAAAATATGAGGTTCAGAAAGACCAACACGGTCTTTGACGAAGTGATACCACACTGGCCCATGGCCAACGCTGGTATTTACGCTTGTGCTTGGTTTTAAGACGTTATTTTGGACAAAGACATAACCCCTTTCACTCCATTGGCTCGACTGTGTAGGAAATTGGGAACGTTGGCGTCGTAGCGCTACCACATAGTGCAGCCGAAATACGAAAAGATAGGGATTTGCTGACATCTAGCGGAAGTATAAGCTATTGAGTGGTGATGCACTCACCGTGGCGACGTAATTCGAAAACGCACGTAAATCGGAACGCACTGTGGTCACGAACCAGCAGTGGGGACATTAAAGTTGGCAAAAATGTTCCCCAAGGAAAGCCTACTTGTAACTTTATACAACTCCAATTAAAGCTACAAACTAGTCGTCTAAATAATGGAGTATTCGGTGAAATAAAAACAAAAATACTCATATTCAATCGAAATGGTAACATCCGATATTGTTATTTTTAAAACAAAGCATCAACACAAAATTGACAAAAATCCTGACAGGAGGCCTCGGGGACGACCCAGTACACGCTGGAAAGACTATCTCTCATCTAGCCAGAGAACGCCTTGGGATCCCTCCGGAAGAGTTGGAAGACGTGGTTGGGGTTAGGGAAGCTTTCCCTCCTGAAACTGCTACGCAAAAGCGGTGAAAAAGGGATTGGTGGATTGCGGAAATTCAGCAATATATATGTAACTACAAAAATAACGAATTAAATCTTGATAAAAGAACACAAATTAAGTTAAAATAGCTAATTTTGTTTGTCAAACCTTTCTTTTTAAGATTTGAAACAAATGCATATTTTTTGTGTATTGAAGGCTGCCGTACGTTATCTGACATTTGAAACAAATTTTTTTGTGTATTGAAGGCTGCCGTACGTTATCTGACGGCATCGTGACGACGTGTTACGAACAGGAGAGCAAACACAAAGCTAACGTGCGTTCATTCAAATTGTATTCAGTTCTAGAAAAGACAACTTCGGCCCTTTTGTTGACAACCAGCAAGAAGAAAATGGTAAATTGGTTGTGGCTTAAACTCTTTTACATATTAAATATGAAACAAATGAAGACAAATGGGTTATCCTTGAATCTGCTGTCCTCTTGTATCTTTTGTGACAGTTAATACACCCAAACTGTAGAGGGCGATAAACCGTATTCCTCTCGACAAAAAGTGGTCAAATGACATCCCGAAGAAAACATGAATGACATCATCAAGCCGCACACTCTGACGTCGCTTGTCGCACTCAAACCTGACACTGGTAAGAATCACAGACGTTTAGAGAATAGTTTTGTCATTGATACGCTATACTCTTACGAATACACTGACAAAAACTTGACGCAAACCTTAAGGTGATGTTTTCTCGCTGTAACGATTAAATTACTTCCGGGTACAGTAATAAACAGCCAGGCTCTGACTGCTAGCAAAGTTTTCATTGAGAGTTCATCACTGTTATATTTGATCAAATGACTATTTAAATACCCCCCCCAGAAAAAAAAGGGATTTATTGACACACAAGGACAGCTTTTATCACAACCAAGATTCTACCACATGCTGAACTGTAGAGGTGTGAGTAAATTATTTACAGACATTTTAACTTGATTGTCGCACTTCGCTCTGGTTTCTTCTAATCCTAAAGCTATATTTACCGCCATAAAATAAATCACGCAAGTCGGTGGTCTGACAATTATCTCGATGTTGTTTTAATTCAGGTGTGATAACAATGGAGAATGGTGATGGAAGGGAGACATGTGAGCCAAAGGTGGTCCCTAAAACACAGCAGCTCTGTCGCTTCTTCTCTCAGGGAAGACGTTGTTACTTTGGGGCCAAGTGTAAATATTTACACACAAGAGGGGACTCAAGATATGTTCAGAAAGAAGCAATCACAACTCCTAGCCAGGCCGACGTCACGTCCCTCGCCCCTGTGGGTCTGGAAGGCGATGGTGACGTCCTCACTGCTAAGCCCAAGGCATCCTCAGGAGCAGGACCCCGTGCCTGCCGCTACTTTTTGTCTGGGCACTGCACGATGGAGGACAGGTGTCGCTTCTGGCATCCATCGCAGTTCCCCAAAATGGGGGACCATGCAAAATCAACAGAGCAGATAGGCTTCATGCAAAGGAGATCCCCTGCGCCTCGGCCTAACGTCCTCCAGGAGGTCAAACTGTGCGAGCTGACTAAGGAAGTTGGCGCACAGCTACGAGAGACCGAGATCAAGCAGCTGAAGCGGCGTTTTCCCAAAGATCGTCTTATAATTCAAGAGCGAAGCGATGGCAAGGTTACGTATTACAGGGCCACTGTGGAAGCCACTGATCCAGACTGGGTAAATATTGACTTTTCTCCTCCTGTAACCTTACGAGGAATTGAGGACAAGCGCAAGTGGTGGATTATTGTTTAATCGTGTCTTGACAGTAGCGTGCACTACTCATCTACAACCAGCAGAGGAACTGCTGATTCACTCTAAACTAGTTTGTATGATAAATTGACTTCTCCTGTTTCCGCTTCTCCATTTTTATGCTCTTTGCAGCCTTTTGATTTGAAAGAAATTGACATCATGGTGAGCTTTCCAGACACTTATCCACAAGAGGTAAAGACCGCAACTCTAATACTATTCAGCGATGATATGATGACATTGTCATCACGAAAAACCACAACTGTTTTCATTCCCTTTAGATTTTCATCCTTGATATCCCATTGGATCAAGAGCTTCCTCTCGTGATGGGAAGGTATCAAAAGCAGCCTGTCAATTCCAGTCATATTTCAATGTTTTTGATTGATTGAAAGTTATGTTGTGCCCCTGTAGGCACGTGCAGCAAGCATCGCTGGAGTGGCTCCAGGCAAAGCACGCCACCAATCAACTACTCGGAAAAGTGGAGCTGCTCTTCCGACCCTTTCTCCGCTGGCTTGATCGCAGTTTGGAGAAGCTTTTTACGGAGGGAGCCCGGCAGGTGTGTTGTTGTACAAGTACTGTGGAAACTTGAAAATAGATGCTTAAAATATGCTTCATTTGAAGTCATTTTCCATGATTGTTACTGCTCTATGTCCATCGATCCATCTCAGCAATTTGAAAGTTCTCAAAATAAGTCATACTTAAAAAAACAGGGAAAGATGTAAAATCCTTGTCGGCCATAACACTTTTCTTACCTCAGGTTGCTATGTTTGCTATATTTTAACACACCAACTGTTAGCACTTCTTCTCATTAGAGGTACAGTAGTACATGAATAAGGGACCAGTTGGTCTCAGCGCTTTTGCTACTCAGGTTGCTATCATGCTACATGTTAGCATTTGAGCAGTTTTCATAAGAGAACTCACTTGAATATTGCGCAAGATGTGCAAGCCTTTATAAGCTAACGTAACACTTTCCTTACTCATATTGCTATTGTGCTAATTAATTTATTTTATTGATCAGCCAGACACTTTAATGTGTAAGTTCCATTATTGGTTCTCGAGCCCAAGAAAAAGACATTTGGTAATCTTTTGGCTAGCGTATGCACTTAAAGTTGGACTTTTTTCCCCCGAAAAGATTGCCTTTTGTATTGATGTTGCTTTTTTTTTTTTATTGCAGTTGAAAAAGGACCTTGATTTAAAAAAAGCCGGGCTGCAGTTCATTCCCTACCAGGATCTGCAGGCAACTGTGTGTGAAAAATCAGACAACAATCACCCATCAGACACCAACTCCGACGCTGCGAACGAGGGAGCGCAGGCCGACGACGTCACGAGAAAGTCCGAAGGTGACATAGCCGGAGGGGAAGGCTCAGGTTGTGATGAAGAGCGGTGGGATGATGAGGACAAAGATGCCACTCATCTGGTAGAAAACATTAAGATCAGCGATGTCCGCCGAGGCACAGAAGTGAGGCTGCTCGGCCTGACGCTGGGAGAGAACACGGCCACCGTAGTGGGCCTCAACATCACCGTTTGTCTTCAGTGCAACAGGTATCTGTGAATTTGTCATTCTTAGACGACTAAACAATCTGATGAGATCTGCCCCAAGAGCTGTATTAATATCAACTAAGAGAATAGACTTCTACCAAGTTTTAAGAATTTGTTCCAACTACTCTGTTTCACGTCTGCCGGTCGTGTGCAGGTGTAAAGTGACGGCAGACCTGACGCTGAACGGGAAGACGGCCTGCGTAGCTCAGTGCGAGAAGTGCAGTGCGAGAATCAGCGCAGCATTCAGACCCTCCATGCTGCACCACTACAGTGACGTGTTGGGGTACCTGGACCTCCAAAACGCTGTTCCCACTGACCTGGTGCTTCAAGACTGCCACCTCACTGTGGGCTGCCTCAGCTGCTCCCAAGAGAGCTTTGTCCAAGTACACACTAACCCGACAGCAATGTCATCCGTCACATTGCTGAAAATCCTCAATTAATCATATCTTTTCAACATGTTTTTATTAGAACCTTTGCTATGGTCAAATAAAGGAGGTTAATTGTGACAACTGCCATGGCAAGCTCAGTCTGTTGGCTGAGAGCGCCAGATTCCAATATATTCAGCCACGCAGCAACAAAACAGGTGACAGCTCGCCTACATTCTCCCCCAGCAGATTAGCCGAGGTTTAAAATCTTATGCTGTAATAACAAAACAACTACAGTCTGACTATTGTGGACCCACACAGGGTGAAAAGCCGCATTTTATTCACAGCGGTACAACTGGACAGATCATTTCTTCCACCATGTTGTGTTGAAAGCAATCGTCGCTGACAGCTATTTTATGTCACACCAGATGCTAGTGTTTTCCTTCTAGTAATGATCTTAATGCAAATTTTGTGCCAAAGAGCATTAAGGCCAATCCATTCAACTAAACGGTTTCTGTTTCAGCTCTCATTATAACCTTTATTTTTTTTTTTATATACCTCATTTTAATCATACTGGAAGGTTTCTGTTTCAGCTCTCATTATAACCTTTATTTATTTTTTTTTTATATACCTCATTTTAATCATACTGGAATTTCAGCCAGAAATCAAATATCCCCAATTTTTGGTGAGCAGTATATACCGGTATTTGTTTCGTCCTGACTCTACCACTTCCTCTCTTCTTTACACAATTTTTTTCACCAGTTGTGTTGGTTTTGCATGTATCTGATAATAGTTAAATTGACCCCGAGTTACTCATTTTCAATGTTTTATATCATGGTTTAGAATTACACTGCGACAAACTGACAGACATCTTGTGTTGTTTTTGTATGCAGGTCTAAGTGCTTCGACTGTTAATTTGAAGACTGTAAGAGATCCGGCTGTTCAAAAGGGCAAACCACTACCAGAAAAAGGAGCATGCAAGCATTACAAGCAGAGCCATCGCTGGCTCAGGTATCATCATCACTCTTTCTGAGGTCGTTTGAAACATAAGAGTACATATGTGTTCTCTCTCCGCGTGGTGTCAAGGTTTCCGTGTTGCGGCCGAGCTTACCCTTGTGACGTGTGCCACGACGAAGACCAGGACCATCCTATGGAGCTCGCCAACAGGATGATCTGTGGCTACTGCGCTAAAGAGCAGGTGAGCTCGGGTTGATGATACCAGAACACCACCCAAAACTGTCTCCTGACCGCATTTGTTGTTGCAGCCTTACAGCAACGGGAAGCCGTGCGTCAGCTGTGGCAACATGATGACCAGAGGTGCTCACACCAGCCACTGGGAAGGAGGACTTGGCTGCAGGAGCAAAATTAAAATGTCACGGTATTTTTAAAGCACATTTTTCTGATTCAGTCAACAGTCGACTAATTTTGTCTTTTTCTTGACAGAAACGATCGGCAAAAGTACGCCAACACCAACAAGACCATTTCGAAGAAGGCCATTGAAAAGAAGTAGCTTGATTTGTTACTTTGTGAATAAGCAAAACAAAAAAAACCCCAAACAAATTCAATGAGTTTCTAATTTCCTCCAATAAATCATGTTGTAATGATGACTCGGTGTGACAGTGATCAACTGTTTTTTGTCAACTTTTCTGAACTTTAATAACTTGTTTCATACAATTTCAGTGGGTCATCTCCATCTTTTAACGTGGAGTTACATTTTTCACATTTTCCTCTTAAAGAATTGACAGATAAAATGCTATATAAAATATATTTATTCAACAGGTTTGTGAAAAAAAAATTCGCTATCAAAAAACAACCTATAAAATACAAATGTAAAAAATATATTTTGCAGCACATCAGCGAGTTGTGCTATTGAATAGTTAATCTTTTTGGCTTGAGTGTGTTGACACGTAAGCCCTGTGAGCCAAACTCCACACTCAAAAGGATTTTCCAGGCGTGTGCGTCCAGAAACGGCAGCAGTGCGTCAATATGTTGAACATCAGCGAGCTGCTTCTGTGTCCTCTCACCTATAACCGTTCCGATCATCTCCTCCAGCCTCTCTGGAACCATCTGCTTGTTCACCACCGGCATCTCATCTCATCTCCTCTATTCCCGGTCCTGCTCGCTTTTTCCAGCTACGTCATTTTCAGCACACCTTTTGCAGTTATGGACCTGCTGGGAGAAAGAGTGTCTTTGTTTCACAAGTTCAAGATCCAGCCAGGAAAGCGTCCCACGCTCAGAATGATGGCGAGGAGTTTCCGGATGAGTCTTTTTAACCACGTTTTCTTTGTCCTGCCGAGTGTGGTGATCAGCATGTTCATCTTACCTCTGCCAGCGTTGCCTCAGGAAGCTCCGGCGCTCCGCGAGGTTTTTGTGGACGGCTTGGCTCTTCTTCTCCTCTTTGACACCCAGTACTACATATGGCACGTTGTACACCACAAACACGTGCAGTTGTACCACTACATCCACGCCATTCACCATGAATACTCCGCTCCCTTCTCCTGGTCCACCGAGCAGCTCAGCATCCCAGAATTGATGACGGTAGGACTCTGGAGCAACCAGGACCCCATTCTGCTTAAGTGTCACCCTCTCACCACTTGGTGCATCACGGTGCTTAGTATCTGGATGTCTGTGGAGGATCACATTGGCTATGACCTACCATGGGGCCTCAATCGCCTTGTGCCCTTCGATTTGTTGGGAGGAGCGCCTGCTCATGACATGCACCATCAGAGACCAAACAGAAATTACGCTCCCTTTTTTAGCCACTGGGACAGAATTTTTGGGACTGCTGTCCCACTCAGGAAAAAACGATGACATGTAAATATGTTGTGTTGTACAGTATAAGCATTCGTGGGTTTTACTACACATATACAGTGTGTGTGTGTGTGTGTGTGTGTGTGTGTGTGTGTGTATAAAATTAAATAGAATGCAGTGAATATTAATCAGTGCATTATGATTATTTCATTGCAGCAATTTCTGGTGGGTGCAATTTGGTCACCAGGTGGGGCAGGATAATAGTTATGCAGACAATGTAGCATTCCACTCGACCACTGCTAGTGACTCAATAATATTAGTCATCTTTTTGGGGAGGATAAAGAATGCTTGTGAGTATTGTTATATCGCAGCATTTGTGGTCTAATCTAATATAGCATTTATCACTCACTCACTCACACACACACACACACACACACACACACACACACACACACACACAATTTAAGCATTATAACACTGACACATAATGTAGATGCCATTCATTAGCCCTTCTCTAGCGTTTTACATGACATGTTAACATTAATTTAGCAACCTTTATGACAAGGTTAAGAGGTTGCTTTAAAATACACATGCAATTCTCTTTTTTTGTGTATGGTTTGACAGTAAACTTTGATATCAGAAGCATTCAACAGCTTGAAACGTTTTTTTTTTTTAAAGCGTGTTCATTATGCCAAACAGCTCCCCAAAGCAAAAAAGTGCCGGATGACGACTATTAACTCGAAAAACACAGCAGTCGGAACACTCGTAACGCAAGGCACCACTGTAATGTGTTCCCCCGCCTATTGCTCATTTACAGAAACTCCACAAGGGGGCGTCAAAGCACTGTCTAATCCAGGGGTCCCCAACCGCCGGTCCGCGGACCGGTACCGGTCCGCGGGGCATTTGGTACCGGGCCGCACAGAAAGAACTTGCCTTAATTCCGTTTTATTTATTTCGGAATACGAAAGAT